GGAAAACATGGTGGGTTAGATATTTATCCTTTAAACACATAGAAACATGCATGCATGGTACAAAAACGCACTAGAACCCAATAGAGAGTTTAATGGTAGACATCTCGAGCTAACCGTTGTCCGAGAAGTTTCAATTCGTCAAAGTTCATCGAACGTTGAAATGGGAACCTTGTTTTATCCTAGTGTGGCACCACCAAAGAGTTGCATATGGTCCTAGATAATTTTTGGGAGAATTTGGGAGGTGTTGATGGAGCTTTGGAGCGGTGGTGGTGATGCTCAGCGGAAGGGAGGGTAAAGAGGGATTTACATGAGATAGTTTGAAAGATGAGAGAAAGTTGAGTGGGTATAGAGAGAATCAATTGAAATGAGAGAAAATGGGGGAAAATGGGACCGTGAGGGAGAGAGATGTGAGGGAAAAGTGATGGGATATGGCGTGTGTGTGTGAGAGAGAGAGTAAGAGATGTGAGATAGAGGGAGAAAAAGAAAATATATTTATAAAAGAAAAAAGAAAAAAAATGATGCCTGTTGGATGGCGGCACAAAAGTGCGGGTTTCAAAACCTATAAAAATATTTGTTTAAGCGACTTGCATGGCCATCCCTCATCATTAAGCCTCTTTTAAGGCTTTTTTTTATTGTTTTCCCAGGCCGAACCAAGCAATGATGCACAATGCACGAGGTCAGTTTTTAGAATTTGAATTTCTCTCAAGTAAATTTACACTGTTTCGAACATCACTTCTTATTTATAACTCTGAATTGAGTTCCTTCTACGGTCACGAGTTTGTAAAAATGAGTACTATTCAAAAATAGTAAAATAAGACTGGAAAAGTGAAAGGAAAATCGAGTTCCATGTGGAAGGCCTACATGGCATCTTAGGGGTAGTTTGATAATTTCACTACTACTGAGAATGAAATACAATAAATCTCAAGATGGGATGTCACACAATTTTTTTTCACTCTAATGGTTCTTGGTTAAAATTTAGCCTTTTCAGGCTAAATTTTTTTTAGGTCAATAAAATTAATTTAGAATATCATAACTTATTTTGATGAACATTTTAACTTAAAATTTGCCATTTGTTAAACATTAATATAATTTCTATTTAAAAGTTTCAAAATATTTAAATATAAAAACTAAAAAGATTATTTAAAACTAAAAGAAAAAAAAAATGAAAATAAATAAGAACATAATGCACACCCACTAACCACCCCCTATCAGTTCATTGGAATCCCTCAATTAAAAATTAGTTGCATTAGTGAATTTTTCTTCTTATTCCCTCTAATGACCTTGCTTGGTCTACCCCCATTCATTAATGTTTTCCCTTCATTATTTGGAATGACTTTTATTGGTCTGATCATTTTAGGGTTTCTGGGTAAAGACTTTGATAAATTTACAAAGAACAGTGACATTCAAACCCTAACCAAATAAAACTCCCCCCCTTTCTTTCTTAATAATTCTCACTTTGTTAAAAAGAGTTTGATGATTAGAGGAAAATAAGAAAGGTTTGATGAATCAAGAAATATGTATTTTTGGGCATGCATTGAACATTGACTAAATGAAGGGGTTGGGTTGGTGGGGACAGGAAGGAGGGTGAGCTTGAGATAATAGATCTTTTACATGTGTTTTGGATTTTAGTTTATGTAGTAATTTTTTTTTCAACTTTTATATTAAATTTAATAAGGAGAATCATATATTAATTTGGTTTTACACATGACAAATTTTGAGTTGTGGAGGAGTGCCACTCAGTAAAGTTCAGTGCAAGTTAAATTTTTCTTTCATAAAACATTTATGTATAGAGTTTTTAAGTGAACTTTGAATTAAATATTTTTTTAATTGTTTTAGCCGTTGGACTTATTTTTTATTTTTTATTTTTGTCAAAGATATAGATTTTATTAAATACAAATTGAAATGTTTACATCTTCTTTAATGTTAAAAAGAAACTCAGGGCCAAATACATCTCACAAGAAAGATCCTCCGTGCCTGGAAGCATGGTTTGCAACAGCGTAAGAGCATCTCTGAAGGAGATGCCAAATTGTCCACATAAGCCAGTAAAAAAAGACAACCATTAATTGTTTCTAACCGAAATGCCAAATCCTATGTGCATGACATGGAATGGTAGCAAAGGGGCTTGCTGTCAACTTTGACAGCAACTTTAAATTTTTTTTTACCAAATATTAAATGTCTTTTATTAATATTTTAATGTCATTTATTATTTGATTGTTGAATGGTAGAGTTTTTTTGGCTTTTGAGCTTCAACCACCACCACCCACTGACCACCACCAAATATCATCCATCCCATTACCTTACTACCACCCTAAATGCAATCACCACCGGCAACAATGGTGGCGGCGATGCTGCTACTCCTCCTGCTAATGGCGTTAATTGTGGTGAATGTGGGAGCATCTAACACAAAATGCGTGTACAACCCATGTGCAGACACCAAGATTCAGAGGTTTGACGGCTTTACATTCGGGATCGCATTCTCGTCCAAGACCTCCTTCTCCCTAAATAGGAACCAATCACATCAACTCTCGCCCTGCGACTGTCGCCTCTCGTTGTCCTCCTCCAACGGCTTTGTATTAGTATTAATTAATATGACTTTTATTATGAATTATTTATTTGTAAAATTTAAAGTATAAGACAGAAATTAAGAAAAAAAATGTTATAAAATAATAGTTTAATTTGACATATCGGTAGAGAGCAAAACATAAAAATATGTCAAAATGTCATATAAGCTGTTAAATTTAAATTTAAAATTTAAAATTTGACATCTACTTTGGAAATGGTCTAAAATGCCTAGCTTCCTCCTTGTGGCACAAAAACAAACTTCGCATCTTGAATCCTAGAAGCAAGCCCCCATATATTGAAAATTAAGCATTCAACATCTGCATCGCAATCAATTTCCCGGTTTAGCGTTTGGATTACGCGCGGCTCTGACTGCAGCAGCCTCTGCTGCAATAGAGCTTAAGAACATCGATCAGTGTCCCCGTACCTCCCGCCACCTGCAAATCCCAAGAAAAGTCTCTAACCACCCACCCAACTCCTGCATGCATTATAGTTGCATTCCATGCACCATCGCAATTGAATTTGATCGAACCGAAGTCAGGTCGCTTCCATCTCACCAATTGACCAGCAAACACCCAAGACTTTGCCGTTTCTTGAACATCCTTGCTGACAACTTTCCCAGGTATTGCAGCTTTGAATTCATTAACCTGTCTTCTCCATACCTCAAAGCTTGTATCGGATTCGCTTGAGAGCCTGTAAAGATCATCTCCTTTCTACTGTTCCATAAGGCAAAAACAAACTTGCGCAATATTTCCTCTCTTCGATCTACATCTTTCCACCTCTGTTTCAACATTCATATGCCGACGAGCAGGATTTTGTCTCGCTGCAAGTGAATTGGTGCAGCATCGCCAAAGAAAAAAAATTGAGCTTATTTGTGACTTTCATCTCCTTTGATTTAATTTTGGAAAGTTAGATTTTTTTTACCGTTAAATTTGCTCATATTCATCATCAACCGTTGAAATATAAAAAAGAATATGTGGGTAGCAAAAAGTTTGTAATATAAGAAACTAATTAAAATAATAATATAATGTGATTGGATAAGTTAAAAAAAAAAATTGCAAAAACAACTCCATATTCTTCATGGTCCCTCAACTAATTCACCAGAAAAACAAATAAGTTTGATCTCTTTCATACCAAATGAAAATTTGACTTGAATTTTTATAAGAATAAATTGTAGCTATGGTTCCTCAACTAAAAATCTATTACCATTGGTCCCTCAACTCATCAAAATGTCCAGTTATAGTCTCTTAACTAAAAATCTATTACCATTGATCCCTCAACTTTAATTCAACTGGAGAAATGGTCCCTTAACTTTAACCTAATTGTAGCAATGATCCTTCCAACATAACTTGTTTTGACAAAATTTTTGAAATAGTTGACGAAAAGGACCATAATTACACATTTTGATGAGTTAAGGAACCCTAATTATATAAATGGTTATTCCAACATAACTTATTTTGACAAAATTTTGACTAAATTGATGAAAACGACTATAACTACACATTTTGATAAGTTGAGGGACCAATGGTAGTGGGTTTTTAGTTGAGGGACGATTACTACAATTTACTCTTTTTACAAAGGATTGATTTCAAAAGTATTTTTACTAAAATAGCTGTTAGTCATTTTAAAAGCTTTCCAAACAAGTCCTAATACCATCTCCCTTAATTTTTGTGCGAAATATCTTAAGTTCAACTTTCGTATACGACAGACCTTTTGAAATAATTGGATTTAGGTTCACACAGGTAGCGTTTGGTACGCAGACGGGACGGGACGGGACGGAACAGATGTTCTGTGTTATGTTTGTTACGCGCAGGACGGAACAAGACTGTTGTTCCGTCCTGTGTTTGGTAGCACATGGACGGAACGGAACCAAAAGATTAAATGACTAAAATACCCATGTTCCGCTGTTGTTTGGTACAATTTTATGGGCGGAACGGGACATGACTCTTTTTTTTTTTTTTTTTTTTTTTTTTAATAAGTTGTTCAAATTTGAACACTATTATCCATTATTTGTTTTTCTTGGTCCAAATTTAAATAGGTATATGTTGTGTTTCACATGCAAACCCCTTTAAAATTTGTAATTTTTCCCGTTTTCTACACCTCCATTCGAATTTTCACCACAAACCCGCCAAATTTTATTGTGCAAATTGCAAAAGCCACACCCCAATTCAATTTTTAGTCCCTAATTTTGGTCCTTTCAATTGTGGGTTGTTGTTCAGGGAGTTTAGGTTCTACAAACATTAGAATTGGCATTGTTTAGAAGGACACCCCTCTAAATATTCCCCATTGTAGGAACAAGGCAAACCACATAAGAGCACATGACAAATGTTGAAAAATATATAAGTTTAATGATCATGCATATCGTAAACATTTTAGGGTTTAAACATTTAGAACTTAAACAAAGAAAATGAAATATGCATAACTTAAACATGAAATATCTGAAATCAAACATTCGTCCTGACTTAAAAAACAAATAATGTCTTGCTAAAGTAATAATGAAAACACTTAGAAGTTGATAAAGTTCCCCATACTAAAACCATAAATACTAAAACCTCAAAGGCTCTCCATAAACACTTTAATGAAATCTGGCTTCTGTGAGTCATCCAAGGTGGTCCAAATACCCATCAGATCGGTATCTTTCACTAACTTCATTGAAATTCTTAACACCTGATCGTATGGGAGACCCATGGCCTGAAGCTCAGAAGGTAGTCTAGCTTTTGCTTCTCTAAAAGTAAAACTTTCACCTAATTTCTTCATTTCAGTAACAGCTTTATTCCAACCTTCACTGATAACAGGTACAATATTTGCATCACCATCATTCCTACTCCTCTTCCTCTTCCTAACAGGTTGAGAAGCACTAGATGTAGCAACAGAAGGAGATGGGGTAGGTGAAAGGGGAGGTATCTCAGAAGTCTCACAATCCTCACTTTCCAAACCCATATTTTCAATTGCATCTGCCGCTGATTCAGCAATGCTACCCGTGGCTCGGTCTCTCCCAAACACCGTACATAGCCGTGGATACAACGGGAATGGCTTATTTGGTTTGCAAGATGCATTGGGATGTTTCTACAATAAGAACCCAAAGAAATCAAGGTTAAGACTTTCAAAGCAACTAATTGATAAAGAATAAGAAAAAAAAATTTACCTTCACCCACTCCTGTAGTATTTCGTCACTATCCACAACAACACATTTTTTCTCATCATCCCAACCAAATCCAGATGTATTCATCATGTCATATGCAGACGAATACTTTTCTTTCAGACGCTTCAATTTGTTTTGTATATGCTTCGGCTCTATATTAACGCCAGGAATCTGTTCCCTCATCTTGGAGGCAACGGTTACAAAAGTACCAGCCTTAAAATTGCCGGTCTCACACCTAACACCATCAGCAACCATCTCCTCGAGGATGGTAAGTAGTACATCCTCCTCATGATCAATCCAATTACGTGAGGTGGCCATATAATCTATCAAATAAGCCATATATTACACAAGTAACACAAATAAATTTATATTAGTTGTACTAATCAATTACCAAATCAAATAAGCCAAATCAAATGACAATGACTAAATTTATATTAGTTGTACTAATCAATTACCAAATCAAATAAGCCAAATCAAATGACAATGACTACACCCTAATTTTAAAATTTATTAAAATTTAGTAACACAAATAAACATATCAAATAAGCCATAACATCTAGATAACTCCCAATTACCATATTACAATAACAAACATCTCAATAGTCTTGATGTTACGAATTTTCAAGCCAATTACAACAACTAAATTGAGTCCACATCTAAAAGACAATTACAACAACTACCGTGTTAACCAATTTTCAAGCCCTCCTTCCTCTCCACTCATCATATATTTCTCTTGCAAGATCATCCCTCCATTGAGTCCATATTTGGCTTGACTCAACGGTTTCAATGTAGGCTAATACTTCTGGTAAATCTTCCCTTATAGGTAATTCATCAAACACAAGCCTTGCATTTTCTTCAGGATCAACTGCCATATACATTCTGATAAAATTATGAAGTAAACTACATGCGGTGATCATTCGTCCCTGAATCTTGATTGGATAGTGGGAAGGACTTCGTAAGATAGCCCAACGTCGTTTGAGGAGGCCAAAACATCTCTCAATGACATTCCTAGCACGTGAGTGTTTCATATTAAAATATTCTTCATGATTCCTAGGTGCACGTGAATTGTTTTCCCACTCTTGCAAATGGTATCTAGTGCCTCTATACGGTGCCAGAAAACCCTCACCATTCGTATATCCGGAATCAACCAAATAATATGTACCTATATTAGTTGATAATAAATTTTAGTTGTTGGCCAACAAAGGTAAGGAAAAATACTAGGTGCTTGTTTATCTTACCAGTTGGGACCTTGAGGCCATTAGCTCTAGTAACAGCGTCACCAAGAACTCTCGAATCAGTAGCTGATCCCTCCCAACCGGATAACACATATACGAATTTGAGGTCGTGTGTGCATACGCCTAACACATTAGTTGCTATATGACCCTTCCTTGTTCTATATCTTGGTCTATCGACATCAGGCACAGTGACCCCTATGTATGTTCCATCTAGCGCTCCTAAGCAACCCTAGACAAAAGAAAAATTTATATTAATTAGCAATTACAAATAATTATGTTATTAATGATTCTACTATGATTATTACCTTAAAGCATTTCCATCTCGATTCTGTGCAATCCTCTGGGATAGGGGTTGGTTTTGCAAACAACACATCTTGCAAACTGAGTAATGCACGCAATACTCTACGGACATATCGACTAATAGTTTCACCAGACCTAAAAAATCTAACTTGCATTGACCTATTTTTATTGTGTTGGGCTAATATGTTAACAAAAGTAGCTACTTGCTCCTCTATTGTAACATGACCATCATCTACCAATCCACCACGAGTTTGTAGTAAATCACATAAAACTGCAAATGCATTCCTATCCATTCGTAGCTCCCACAAACAGTTAGTATCACTCAATCGCGTGATACGATTTATTTCCTCTCTCCTAACATGAAGTCTAACAAATGTCCTCTGCTCTAAACTAGCTATTTCCCGTTGTCTCCTTTGTTGTTGTCTATACCTCAACAATTGTGCATTCATAGTAAAGACTTGTGCCATTATAATCCAAACGTTCAAAAGAACAAAGAATTGAGTCTCATATTCATCCATACCTTCACATGCAAAAAAACAACACATGAATGAGTGGAGTATCAACATACGCTAAATTCATTTTAGATACTTGGACTTGCTAATAATGATAATATAATGTATAATAAAAAGCAAGGCCCAACAAACTATACAACGCAAAATAGTTCACTTGGAGGGTTTGGTTTAGACTAATGAAGTAAGTCATTGAAATTAAAAGGAAGTAATAATATATAATGTTTATGGACGTTGCTTTCTTAGCCTAAAACCATTGAGCCATATGATCCAGTGCCAGTGTATGGACCGGACCATACTAGTCCATATAACTATCATGTTATATTTTATTATAGTTAAGCAATGATGAAAACCAAAAGAACGAATTTTTATGTACAGAGACAGAACATTACCATAAGAAAAAAAGGAATGAAGTCCTCAAGAAACGTTGGCTACCAAAAGGGAACCAGCAACTCAGCTTATTTATGTGCCACAAAATTCCCAACTGCACTGATTAGAGTGCTAGAATATGGCAAGTTGTAAGCGGATATACCTGCAATAACAAACTAACATTTAATATTAAAAATTAGGAAAGTAGAAGTAAGATCAGTCATGTCTCATAATGAAAAATAGAAGACTAATAAACAACCACGAGGCACAAACCCTTGCCTCTCAAAAGTTAAACAGAGTATTATTAGCATTTGATTGCCAACAATAACATAGAAACTGTAATGCAGACAGCGGGCAAGTAGGTTGGTAGAGATTAAGAATAACTGAGACCACATACGTGACTAACATATGAACATATTTTGCAAAAACTGTTTGGCTCGTGCAAGAGTCTGGATACCAAGAGCCAATCAATCGAACGATATAGTTTGATTGATTATGAAGGTTCCAAAGTAATATGATTATATTGGATATGACATTACCTCCATAAAGCATTGTGCAGCATAAATTCCTCATAACTATCAATCCAATCCTGTATATGTCCCTTACAATTACAACTGAAGTCCTCTCCCCTAACTTCACAGATCAAGTTTGACTTGATTTCAAACATGCAACAATTAAGTCCTCTCCCCTCATTTTTTCGTGTACCCTATTTTTTCTACATTCTCATTTCCTAACTTTCCTTTGCAAAACTAAAGCAGACCACTTAGTTTCCTGATAAAGGCATAGTTCAAATGATTTGAGCATGACATCACGAAACTGTTTTGGCTTTCTAAGGGTTGTTTGAGTGTCAGTTAGGGGATCAATGGTTTGGAAAGCTGCAAACGAGATTGGGCCTGTTTTTCTCCAATTGCTATATTTACAAAAATATAAATCAATACAGCTCTGGAAACAAGATATGTTTGAAAGAAATGTTCACAAAGACAAAAATCATTAGTCATTACAATCCAATTACAGGCATGATTACTTCAAGCTAAAACTTAAGACAAACACGACAGCGCGTTCAACGAACGAAGACGACAAAAAGTCAAGAGAAGTGCAAAAGCTAGCCTATTATAACTTTTGAAACCTCTAAAACATGAGCGATGAACAGCTAAATCCTGAAATCCACTAAGACCTAAAGGCATTAACAAAACCAGCTCACTCACTTCAAATCAATATCCATACAAATATGATAAAGTCAACAAAACCCAAATTGCTTACCTTTCCTATGAGATAGAAAGGAGAAAGCTTTATCTTTCAAGCAAACACCCACAGGAACAACAACCCTGTTGCCCAGAAAGCAAGAAAAGCACCTCAAAGGAGAAAACCTAAATCAGATCAAAGTACCAAAACCCTGATGCCCAAAAATCCCCTTTTTTTTCCCATTTCACAAAATACAAATTACAGATTGATATGTATTTACTCAAGAAACAAAATCAGAACCATACAACTCAACAATCAAGAACACAAAGGCATCCAAGAAACACCAAATTGACCAAACTAACCGTCCAGAAAGACAGATTGAAAGCGGAAACAAAAACCAAAGAAAAAAAATGTACCAGACCCAGATGAGAAATCAGTTAGTATTTTGCTGCACTCTAGTTGATACAAAATATCAAACACAAACAAAGAACAAATAAGAAAAGAACAAATAAACAGAGAACAAATACATAAACAGAGAACAAATAAAAAACATTTGAACAATCGAAGAAAGAGAGACCGAGAGCTACACGAAAACAGATCGAACCTGGAACGGAGATGCAGAGCTGAAGATGCTACGGAAGAGGATGAGGAGGAAGGTTCGCAGAGCTGCTACACGGAAGATGCAGAGGTGAAGAGGCTACAGGGAAGAAGATGAGGAGGAAAGGGAAGATGCAGAGGGAGGAACACGACAGCTGAGAAGAAGAGGGATAGTTTTTAGGGTTTGTTATATGATTTTTGATGTAAATTTTGAAAAAGACGAGGGGTATTTTTGTCTTAAAATTTTGGAAATTTCTGTCCCACAGACATGGAACAACCCGTTCCAGGGTGGGGGTGTGGAACAAAAAAATCATCCAAAACTTGTTCCGTGGAACAGTGCGTTCCACTCATTTTAGGCGCGCCAAACGCGGGATGGAACGCCTCGTCCCACTCTGTTCCGTCCCGTCCCGCGTACCAAACACGACCACAGGAAAAAATAAAAAACTGGATTAATGTTTGTGGGCTTAAATTCAATTTGGGTCGTCCAAAAGCCCACACCAGAATCCAACTATCGAAGTAAGCCCATTCCAAAGGCGGTCTGGTCCTCACCCCTCATTACCGTCACGTGCGATACGACCGCCTCTCTCTCTCCTTCTAAGAAAAACATCTCAAATCCGGCTCTGCGTTTTTCAGGGACCAGGGCCAAACCCTGCAAAACCCTAGAAAACGCGAAACGCCATTGAAGCTCCTCAAAAGCTTCTTCGAGCGGAAACACTAGCAGGAAATCTCTCTCTCGCAAGCCTTGTGCAGGGTTTCACATTCGATTCGGTTTCTTGTTCCGCGGTATGTGGAACAACGGCCAGATTGCGCCGCCTGGCACCGGTGGTTCGTCGATTCCGCCACCGCCGGCTGCCCAGCCATCTTACACGGTATTGCCTTCTCCAGCTGATGCCGAGGCGAAGCTTGAGGAGAAGGCCCGGAAATGGCAGCAACTAAATTCCAAGCGGTATAGCGATAAGCGCAAGTTCGGGTTCGTCGAGTCGCAGAAGGAGGATATGCCTCCTGAACATGTCAGGAAGATCATTAGGTTAGTTTGCTTCTGCTTCACTTTGATGTATATCTTTGTTATGCTTATTTGATTTTTCATATACATTTTGGCGTCGAAGATCTGTAGGTTAGGTTTCGGATAGGGGATTTGTTTTGGGGTTTTTGTGTTTATATTTCAACGAGATGACTAGAAAATTCATAGGAAGAAGAACTGTGAAGAATAGGGTTGCTTAAGTATTAGTGTGTTGAAATTGTTCACGTAGCAGGTAAGTGTGAGGTTATTGAAGAGGTTAGACCGATTTTGGGTTTGAGATTTATGGTTATTGTTGAATGTTGTTGGGTTAAGTATTGTATGAGAAAATCTTTGGACCGTTTGTCAATTTATACGCACCCTAGGAGCAGTGGAAAATTGATTTGTTTTTGGTTGAATATGTGAGATAGAGAAACTTCAATTTTTCATTGGAGATATCTTTTATTTTTTGTTGTACATATTCATCTTTCACGAAAAATTGATTCATTAGAAAGTTTTTCGAATTCACAAGTATGATTTCGTTTCTGTTATCACTATTTAGAATCGGCATGATATATGTTTTTTCATGCTTTTTACTGGTGTCCTGATCCTTTCATGGTTTCGTGTGATGAATGTGCTTGTACTTTACTGCATTAGGTAGATCTTGTCCTGAATAGTATTTAATTTGGTGTGTCCTTTGACAGAGACCATGGGGACATGTCCTCAAAGAAATTTCGTCATGATAAACGAGTGTATCTCGGAGCGCTTAAGTTTGTCCCCCATGCAGTTTACAAGCTCCTTGAGAATATGCCAATGCCATGGGAGCAGGTACTTGTTCTATGTCTCTCATATCCTTACAAACTTTTCATTTTTGATGGTTAAATTTGTCCATTATGTGATATCTACCAAAGTGGCACTGATTTTATTAATCACTTCTGTAACAGGTCCGGGATGTGAAGGTTTTGTACCATATAACTGGGGCAATTACATTTGTAAATGAAATACCATGGGTTGTTGAACCCATCTATTTGGCTCAGGTGCTTATCTCTCTTTCATATCATTGATATGCTGCTTAAGTTATATAGTATGCTATCCAATTCTTGAAGTTTATAGTCTTTTCTTGCTCCTTCTTGTTATTTAGTGGATTCGTTTTATTTAATTTGTACAGTGGGGTACGATGTGGATTATGATGAGAAGGGAGAAGAGGGATCGTCGGCATTTCAAAAGAATGCGGTTTCCACCATTTGATGACGAGGAACCTCCATTAGACTATGCTGATAATCTGTTAGATGTTGATCCTCTAGAGCCAATTCAATTGGAGTTGGATGAAGAAGAAGATTCTGCTGTGTATACATGGTTTTATGACCATAAACCTCTTGTCAAAACAAAGCTCATTAACGGTCCAAGTTATAGGAAGTGGCATCTGTCGCTTCCGATCATGGCAACTCTTCATCGACTAGCAGGACAGCTGCTTTCTGATCTTATTGACCGCAATTATTTCTACCTGTTTGACATGGAGTCTTTTTTTACAGCCAAAGCACTCAACATGTGCATTCCAGGTATCCATATTTTTTCTCTTGTCTTGCCACTTATTGAAAGGAAAATAACTCTTGTTTCATTGTTTTTGTTTTTCAATGTTTGTTTGTGGTGTGTCTTTCTAGTGTCAACCTTCTATGAAATGGACTGTTGCTTGATACATTCGTCTAGCAATATTAATAGTTGTCAGGTCCAAAGGGGTCTGTTTGTGGATTGATGTGATTCTGGATTCCTGCTTGACACTATATCTTCACACTTTGCATGATTTTAAGAAGTTGAATGTGCAGTCTATGGAAATAATAGTATCAATTGATTCCTTCATTTAGCATATACATTGTTGTGTCTCAATCATTATTATACTTTAAATCTTTCTCTTTAAAATTTTTGGTGCAGTGGTGATTCCTTTTAATTTTTTACTGCCCATGTTGGATGTTAATGCTAGGCCAGGGTTATGTTTACTGTTTTTGGATAATGCTCTGCTGCTCGCTGTTTTCTTCATGACCTTTCACAAATATTAACTTACAGAGTAACTAAAAAAAGGCCGTTGTTAGGTTATATCTTTTCCTGTTGTTCAATTTGGTGTATCAGCTTTGAACTTATATGCTTTTCTTTTGTTTTGCTACACCTTTTGCAGGTGGACCTAAATTTGAACCATTGTATCGGGATATGGAGAAAGGGGATGAGGACTGGAATGAATTTAATGACATCAACAAACTCATTATTCGGTCACCTCTTAGAACAGAGTACAGAATTGCATTCCCTCATCTCTACAACAATAGACCAAGGAAGGTCAAGCTCTGTGTTTATCACACACCCATGGTGATGTACATAAAGACCGAGGATCCTGATCTACCTGCGTTTTATTATGATCCATTGATACACCCAATACCCAGCACTAACAAGGAGCGGCGTGAGAAGAAAACTTCTGATGAGGAGGAAGATGATATCTTTACGTTGCCGGATGTTGTGGAACCTTTTCTGAAAGATACTCAGCTTTATACTGACACAACAGCTGCCGGAATCTCCCTTTTGTTTGCCCCGCACCCTTTTAACATGAGATCTGGTCGGACTCGTCGTGCAGAAGATATACCCCTTGTGTCCGAGTGGTATAAGGAACATTGTCCTCCTTCATATCCAGTTAAAGTTCGAGTCAGCTATCAGAAGTTGCTGAAATGTTTTGTATTGAATGAGCTGCATCACAGACCACCCAAAGCTCAAAAGAAGAAACATTTGTTTCGATCTCTCCAAGCTACCAAGTTTTTCCAAACTACAGAACTTGATTGGGCTGAAGCGGGTCTTCAAGTCTGTAAGCAGGGTTATAACATGCTGAATCTCTTGATCCACAGGAAAAATTTGAATTACCTTCACCTTGATTACAATTTTAATCTGAAGCCTGTGAAGACCCTGACAACAAAGGAGCGTAAGAAATCTCGGTTTGGTAATGCTTTTCATCTGTGCCGTGAAATCTTGCGGTTGACAAAGCTTGTAGTTGATGCCAATATCCAATTTCGTTTGGGTAATGTTGATGCCTTTCAATTGGCTGATGGCTTACAATACACGTTTTCTCATGTTGGTCAGTTGACTGGAATGTACCGTTACAAGTACAGGTTGATGAGGCAGATTAGAATGTGCAAAGATTTGAAGCACTTGATTTACTACCGGTTCAATACTGGGCCAGTGGGAAAAGGACCGGGATGTGGGTTCTGGGCACCAATGTGGAGGGTGTGGTTGTTTTTCCTTCGTGGCATAGTTCCTCTTCTGGAACGGTGGCTGGGGAATTTACTAGCACGTCAATTTGAGGGGCGCCATTCAAAAGGAGTGGCAAAGACTGTTACTAAGCAGCGTGTTGAAAGCCATTTTGACTTGGAGCTTCGAGCTGCTGTGATGCATGATGTTCTTGATGCCATGCCTGAGGGTATCAAGCAAAATAAGGCCAGAACTATCTTGCAACATCTCAGTGAGGCATGGCGTTGCTGGAAAGCAAACATTCCTTGGAAGGTTCCTGGTTTGCCAGTTCCCATTGAAAATATGATTCTTCGTTATGTCAAATCAAAGGCAGACTGGTGGACAAATGTTGCTCATTATAATCGTGAACGTATAAGAAGAGGTGCTACTGTTGATAAGACAGTTTGTCGAAAGAATCTTGGAAGATTAACTCGTCTCTGGCTAAAGGCGGAGCAGGAACGACAACACAATTATTTGAAAGATGGTCCATATGTCACACCAGAAGAGGCAGTCGCAATTTACACGACAACTGTGCACTGGTTGGAGTCAAGGAAGTTTACACCCATTCCGTTCCCTCCATTGTCGTACAAGCATGATACCAAGCTTCTGATCCTTGCTTTGGAGAGGTTGAAGGAGTCTTATAGTGTGGCTGTAAGATTGAACCAACTTCAAAGAGAAGAGCTGGGTCTCATTGAACAAGCCTATGATAATCCTCATGAGGCATTGTCACGAATTAAGCGTCACTTGCTCACTCAGCGTGCATTCAAAGAAGTTGGCATAGAGTTCATGGACTTGTATAGCTATCTGATTCCAGTTTATGAGATAGAACCTCTTGAGAAGATTACAGATGCATATCTTGATCAATATTTATGGTATGAGGGTGACAAACGTCATCTCTTTCCCAACTGGATCAAGCCTGCAGATTCAGAGCCACCTCCACTCTTGGTTTATAAGTGGTGTCAGGGAATCAATAATTTGCAGAGCATATGGGATACAAGTGAGGGGCAATGTGTGGTGATGCTTCAAACAAAGTTTGAGAAGTTCTTTGAGAAGATCGACTTGACAATGCTAAATAGGCTCCTGCGGCTTGTTCTTGACCATAATATTGCTGATTATGTCACTGCAAAGAACAATGTGGTGTTGTCCTACAAAGATATGAGTCATACAAATTCGTATGGTCTCATACGTGGTCTTCAGTTTGCATCTTTTGTAGTACAATATTATGGGCTTGTGTTGGATCTGTTACTTCTTGGGCTGACTCGGGCCAGTGAGATTGCCGGTCCACCCCAAATGCCAAATGAGTTCATCACTTATTGGGATACAAAGGTTGAGACTCGGCATCCTATCAGGCTGTATTCTAGATACATAGACAGGGTGCATATCTTGTTCCGCTTCACCCACGAGGAGGCTAGGGACCTTATTCAGCGATATCTTACTGAGCATCCGGACCCCAATAATGAAAATATGGTTGGATACAATAATAAGAAATGCTGGCCAAGAGATGCTAGAATGAGGCTTATGAAACATGATGTCAATCTTGGGAGGAGTGTTTTTTGGGATATGAAGAACCGTCTCCCTCGAAGCATCACAACTTTGGAGTGGGAGAACAGCTTTGTGTCTGTTTACAGCAAGGATAATCCAAATTTGCTTTTCAGTATGTCTGGATTTGAAGTTCGGATACTTCCGAAGATAAGAATGAGTCAAGAAGCATTTAGTAACACGAGGGATGGGGTTTGGAATTTGCAGAATGAGCAGACAAAGGAGAGGACTGCAGTTGCTTTCTTACGTGTTGATGATGAACACATGAAGGTGTTTGAGAATCGTGTGAGGCAGATTCTTATGTCTTCAGGGTCTACAACGTTTACAAAAATCGTTAACAAATGGAATACAGCGCTTATTGGTCTAATGACTTACTTCCGTGAAGCAACTGTTCATACACAAGAACTGTTGGATTTGCTCGTCAAATGTGAAAACAAAATTCAGACCCGTATTAAGATTGGGTTGAATTCAAAGATGCCTAGCAGGTTTCCACCTGTCATATTTTACACGCCAAAAGAAATTGGAGGACTTGGCATGTTATCTATGGGTCACATATTGATTCCACAAAGTGACCTCCGTTACAGTCAGCAGACAGATGTTGGTGTGACTCATTTTAGGAGTGGAATGAGTCATGAAGAGGACCAGCTGATCCCAAATCTTTACCGATACATACAGCCATGGGAGAGTGAATTTATAGATTCTCAACGTGTTTGGGCAGAATATGCACTGAAAAGGCAGGAAGCTCAGGCACAAAATAGGCGTCTGACTCTTGAAGATTTGGAAGTGAGTATACTGTTCTTGCCCAGTGTTCATTCTGCTGTTATATCCTATTTTTTTTCAAAAAGGTTTCTTCCTTTGCTTTTGTCTGGGGTTGTACATTATTTTAGTTTCTTCATTCTGCTGCATCGTTCTAAATACTTTTTCGTTTGGTTGACAGGATTCATGGGATAGGGGAATACCACGCATAAATACTTTGTTCCAGAAGGACCGGCATACTTTAGCATATGACAAAGGATGGAGAGTTCGGACAGATTTTAAGCAGTACCAGGTGTTGAAACAAAATCCTTTCTGGTGGACACACCAGAGGCATGATGGAAAGTTATGGAACTTAAACAACTACAGAACTGATGTGATTCAAGCCCTTGGAGGTGTTGAAGGAATCCTTGAGCATACATTATTCAAAGGAACATAGTAAGTTAATATCTATTGTTGTCATCCTAAACCATAAACTACAGAACATTATACTGTGCTTTATTACATGGCTTGTGTATGAAAGATATTGACCTACACAAGTATAGCTGAGATTACTTCTTATGCAACTAATCAGAAGCCATCATTACATCGGAACATAAATGCATCCTAGCATATTTAAGGGGCCTTTTTGTATTCTAGCATGTGCTTTAGGTGTATATCAAAGGTGAAACTTATATATGGTTGTGTGGAAAACAGATGTCAGTTTTAAGTTTTAACATATGCTTTCATCTTTAAGTGACATCAGGTTATGGATGGCAAATAAGTTCTGTAAAGTGTCTGTATTTCTGTTGATTTTGAAAGTTAATTGCACATCACTGAACATTTTTTTTTTTTTTTTTTTCCAATTTCAGCTTTCCTACATGGGAGGGGCTCTTCTGGGAGAAAGCATCTGGTTTTGAGGAGTCGATGAAGTATAAAAAGTTGACCAATGCACAGAGATCTGGGCTCAATCAAATCCCTAATCGTAGATTTACTCTTTGGTGGTCACCTACCATAAATCGGGCCAACGTATATGTTGGTTTCCAAGTGCAGCTAGATTTAACTGGAATATTTATGCACGGGAAGATTCCAACCTTGAAGATATCACTGATTCAGATATTCCGTGCTCACTTGTGGCAGAAGATTCATGAAAGTGTTGTCATGGATCTCTGTCAGGTTTTGGATCAAGAGTTGGATGCTTTGGAAATTGAAACCGTGCAGAAAGAAACGATACATCCCAGGAAGAGTTACAAAATGAACAGCTCTTGTGCTGACATTCTTCTGTTTGCTGCCCATCGATGGCCAATGTCAAAACCTAGTCTTGTAGCTGAGCCCAAGGATGTCTTTGACCAGAAAGCGAGCAATAAGTACTGGATAGATGTACAACTGCGTTGGGGAGATTATGATTCTCACGATATTGAGCGTTACACCCGAGCGAAGTTTATGGACTATACCACTGACAACATGTCCATCTATCCTTCTCCCACGGGTATGTGGTTTTTCTGGTTGCCATACTGTTTCAGTGTCTGTATTTATCTTTTTTGGGAATTTAATCATGCTTGTTCCATGCAGGGGTGATGATTGGTCTTGATTTGGCCTATAATTTGCATTCTGCATTTGGTAACTGGTTTCCTGGTTCAAAACCCCTGCTTCAACAGGCAATGAACAAGATCATGAAGGTTTGTCAACTGACACATTTGAAGTTTTATGATATATTTTCTGAATAGATTAAAACAGAAGCAGCTAACTAATTGGTCTTCGTGTGCTTGCAGTCAAATCCAGCCTTATATGTCCTGAGGGAGCGAATAAGGAAAGGATTGCAGCTATATTCTTCTGAGCCTACAGAGCCATATTTATCATCCCAAAACTATGGGGAGATCTTCAGCAATCAAATTATTTGGTTTGTTGATGACACCAATGTGTATCGTGTTACAATCCATAAGACATTTGAAGGAAATCTCACTACAAAACCAATCAATGGTGCTATCTTCATATTCAATCCAAGGACAGGGCAGTTATTCCTGAAGGTATGTCTCTGTTTCTGTGATATCCCTCAACCCCACACACAAACACCACAACCCCACCCCCAACCCCCCCCCACCCCCCCCCCCCCCCCCTCCCCTCTCTCTCTCTCTTTTTCTTCCTTTTCTCACCCTTCTGTGGAGGTTTTGAACCTCATGTCATAAGTTCATATTTTGCAGGTTATCCACACTAGTGTCTGGGCAGGACAGAAGCGTCTCGGTCAGTTGGCAAAGTGGAAAACTGCAGAAGAAGTTGCTGCACTTGTGCGTTCTTTGCCAGTGGAAGAACAGCCAAAGCAAATTATTGTGACTCGTAAGGGAATGTTGGATCCCTTAGAGGTTCATTTGCTCGATTTCCCCAACATAGTCATAAAAGGAAGTGAGCTGCAGCTTCCTTTTCAAGCTTGTTTGAAGATTGAGAAGTTTGGTGATCTGATATTGAAGGCTACTGAACCACAGATGGTTCTTTTCAATATTTATGATGATTGGTTGAAGAGTATTTCATCATACACTGCATTCTCTCGGCTAATTTTGATTCTTCGTGCTCTTCATGTGAACAATGAGAAGGCAAAGATGTTATTGAAGCCTGATAAAACAGTTGTTACCGAGCCACATCACATCTGGCCTTCTCTTTCTGATGATCAATGGATGAAGGTAATCTCATTGTGTTGCATTCCTTTAAATAATATTTTTTCTGCAAGCAGCTTTTTGTTGTCACACTCTCACTAGTCAGAGTTGCTATGACAACCTTTAGTCATCGTCTGTTACATTCATTGATCTGTCCAGAAATCTGAAAATGATTTTGATTTTTGTATCCAAATGGACCTTTGCTAGATTTTCCACGGTTGACCATATTGTTAACCTTTTCACACTTCTATGATGCATGGTACAGGTTGAGGTTGCTCTTAGGGATCTCATATTGTCAGACTACGCAAAAAAGAACAATGTGAATACATCAGCCCTAACACAATCTGAGATCCGTGACATTATACTTGGAGCTGAGATCACCCCACCTTCGCAACAGAGGCAGCAAATTGCGGAAATAGAAAAACAGGTGATGTTTCTCTTCTGGTGGTTTGCATTTTGATACACACAACACCGACGTGTATATGTAGACTTGTTCTTCATGACTCAATTATATATGTGGGCCATTTTTGATCGTCTCAAGTTAACTTATATTGTTGAATTTGCATTTTCAGGCCAAAGAAGCCAGCCAGCTGACAGCAGTCACAACAAGGACTACAAATGTGCATGGTGATGAACTCATTGTCACCACTACTAGTCCCTATGAGCAAAGTGCATTTGGCTCCAAAACTGATTGGCGTGTGAGAGCAATATCAGCTACAAATCTATATCTCCGTGTCAATCATATATATGTGAATTCAGAAGATATTAAGGTAGGGTTCTATTTTTAATAAATATGATATTTTATAGTTTTTGTGTTTTGATCTTTTCTTATTCTTATCCTTGTTTGTTCAATTCATTGACATGGGAGCATGAATGGTGTTACAGGAAACGGGTTACACCTATATTATGCCAAAGAACATTTTAAAAAAGTTCATCTGCATTGCGGATCTGAGGACGCAAATAGCTGGTTACTTGTATGGCATAAGCCCACCCGATAACCCTCAGGTCAAGGAAATCCGCTGCATTGCAATGCCACCACAATGGGGTACCCACCAGCAAGTTCATCTTCCATCAGCTCTTCCTGATCATGATTTCCTCAACGATTTGGAGCCTCTGGGATGGATGCACACACAGCCGAATGAGCTTCCTCAGCTTTCTCCTCAGGTATTTTGCATGATCAATCTATCAATCCCTCTGATCTTTGATTGATTGTTATGCTTGTTTGGGGTTTGCTTTCTATAGAGGAATGTGGCGAACAAGAAAATAACCCTTTCCTTTTGTTGCTTTGCAGGATCTCACTTCTCATGCTAAGATTTTAGAGAACACCAAGCAATGGGATGGGGAGAAATGCATCATTTTAACCTGCAGTTTCACTCCAGGTTCCTGCTCCTTAACTGCGTACAAGCTTACTCCATCTGGTTATGAATGGGGACGTGTCAATAAAGACACAGGAAGCAATCCTCACGGATACCTTCCCACTCATTACGAGAAGGTGCAGATGCTTCTCAGTGACCGCTTCCTTGGTTTCTATATGGTGAGATTTGTAAATACACTTTGTTCGGCCTATTTGTGTTCCCACTAAATCTAATATTGTTGGAGGGTCTCTACTTTTACTGGGTTAATTTGTTTATTTTCTGTTTGGTTTTAAGATTCCGGACACTGGTCCATGGAACTACAACTTCATGGGGGTGAAGCATACGCCGAGCATGAAGTACGGCATCAAGCTTGGAACACCCAGGGAGTACTATCATGAGGACCACCGGCCGACCCATTACCTTGAGTTCAGCAACCTGGAGGAGGGTGATACAGTGGAAGGAGATCGCGATGATACTTTCACATAAAACTTTTGTTGTCAGATGTAATGCAGAGGTGATACAAGGGTTCTTTCGTATTCAGAAACCCTTATTTTTATTGTAAGAATCCTTTTGTGGATGAAAATGCTTGTGCACCTGTAAAGCTAGCTGGGACGAACGTACGTTTGTGTTTTTTGACGAGGCCTGTAAATATTTGATCAATGAGAAGAGAGTACTAGTTTTGTTGCTGAAAGAACGTAGAATGCTCGAAGTGGTAGAAAGTAGACTGCTTGTAGTACAAGTATTTCTCTTCCAGATCTTTGATCCTATTGTTGATTGTTCCATTTCCTTTTGCCAATCACGAGAATGTCCTTACGCTGGCGAGAACTCCTCGTTGTATTTTGTAGTCATTTGAATATAGAACATCAGGTTTAACGATACACGTTTTTAAATTACTTGAGTTATAAGTCTCTTGCCAAATTTGATGCGGCCTGTAACTCAGTCTCGTTCTGTTTAGGGTCTAGGGTCAAAAAGTACAACATTATCCTTCTTACGTAATCCGATTAATACATAAATTTGGCTACTTCTAGGCTGTATTTGAAATTTGAAATTCTAAGCTAATGCCTGACAACATAACCGGATAACATTCTTTCGTTATACGATGATGTGCTCGAACGGCTATAGTATTCCGGTTGGCGGTCGCTCATCGCATCCTACATTGAAACCAAACAACAAAGCAAAACGAAAAACTTTGAGGACATATGCAGAATAAAGTTATAACAAAGAAAAGCTTTCATGCTTGTTCTGTAACGTACTTGTCTTGGTGAGTTTAGTGCACTACCACCTAGCTTGAAAGAATTCATGCTCTCGTTGCTGTCAATCTGTTTAGCTATGCTAGCACAATCTTACCAAGATCCAGTCTGTCTTTTTGCCTCATTTCAATGCACTCTAATGCGAGCTGCGCCAACTTTAAGGCTTCCTCAACAGGCCAGGGTCAAGCATCTCGGGGAAAGTGGGTGCAACCCTTTCCGATGCTTGTGCCCCTCAATCGCTGCATTACTTTTCGCATTCTCCTTTTGTGCCAGTGCAAATGCAGCTTCCTCAGCGAGTTGTGCCTCTTCTAATCTGTGCTCTCCGGCCAATTTCCACCGGTGAAGATCCTCTTCCTGTGAATACACGTCATTAGATTTTACGCTTCAATTTTCCAATATGCTTAACAAAGTCTAGTCAAATGATGATTCTCATCCATACCCTATGTTTTGCTGAGACAGCCTCCCAGAAACAAACCTCTGGAGTGCTGGTGGAGCCTTATGTGTTGTTGCAAATCTTTCGAATCATTATATTGCCTTGGTTGCCGTTGTATTTGATAATGTAGGGAAGGTTTTGAGGGTTCAGCGGTAGCTGGTCGCAAATGCATGATCTTTCCTTTGCCGATGGTATACACAGAGCAAAAGTTTGGTGCCTCTTTTGACACACTGCTTGGAATGTCTTTATTTTTCTATCTTTTTGTGAAAACAACAAGATTAGGATTATAAATTTATAATTAACTAACTAATTAAGGTATAGCAGAACAAATACATGAGATGGACAAGAAATAATGAGAGCTGAAGGAGAAGAAAAAGCCAAAGCTGTTTTTGGATGCAGCCCCAAGCACCAAGACCTCAATAGAATTAGTGTCAGTATAGTTGATGAGTGCTCTTGCTATATCAGTATCCTCCACTATCAATCACTTCATTGCTTTTAATCTGCCACAAACCATTACAATCAAATAAATATGATAAATTAATTGAATTTGATTAATGATCAAATCATTACTTTAGTCTAAAGGAAGGGAGAAATCGACATTGTACAAATGGACAGTGTTTTGGGGATTGATTTCACTTTATTTACGAATCTGCCACTGAATCTCTCTACCGCTACTGTTGGTGGGCTAGGTTGCTTCGTTTTGGGCTGTGTTTGCTGGGCTTGCCTCAAATGTTGATGAGGCTGGCCCTTTTGGTGTTCAAATGACGAGAATGCCCATCTAGGGTTAAGATCGGACGGCTCAGATGAAAGGTTTTGAGGGAACTTTTGTCATCTGAACTGTTGGGCTGATTGATATGCACCAATTCTCATATTTCCTTAACTCAACCTGCAAGTAGCGGTGACAATGGAGGAATAGCACAAAAGGAGGAGATAGAGAGAGGAAGATATATTTTTGTTTTAAAATATTTTTCTTTGAATATAACCGTTGTTCATTCTCCTTCACAATTGGTTACATATATAGTTCCCCAAGCACCAAAGCCAATTGGCATAACTAACCATTTAACAACTTAATTAAAAATACGTATTTAGTAGCTAAACTACGATTAAGATAATCACAGCCCTAACATTGCCCCGCCCTTCAATTAAACCTTGTCCTCAAGGTTACATCTAAAACTTGAAGTCTGGAAATCTTGCAGTGAACTCATCATAGTCTTCCCAGGTCTATTCTTCAACACTTTTGTTCTGATGTGGTAGAAATTAATACACAAATTAAACCATATATATATATATATATATATATATCAATTGTAGCATGAGTAAGTAGGGATCGTTATATTCCGGGGATTAGAAGGGATGCTAATCAACACAAATTAAACTTGTAAAACAGAAAACTAAGTTAAACTAACATCAAAACAATGAGGGGGGAGATTTTGGACGAATTTAACTAAAACAAAAGTAAATGGCAGCAAGTAAATTGAGTTGTGAATGAAATATGGATGAAAGGATAACTAAAGGATTCTTCTCCGCACATGAAACATATGTATACAAATCGATTTCCAGTTATTCTTCCTATAAACCATGAATGACAATACCCCAAATTAACTATGAACAACACTAATTAACTCTCAGATTTTCCTAAGTTCATTGAATTGGACTTAGGGACTCAACCAAATTATTCTTCTCAAATTCCCTAACTATGAAAAGCATGATAGAGATACATCTCAAAGATCATTAAGTTATGTGAAAATCATAAGCATTGACAAAGCATTCGTAACTATGAAAAACATGATACTCCTGTCAAGAATTTACTTAACTCAATCATGACTAGTGACTTATATTACTTGCAAATATAAATTCATGACGATTAGAGGAAATTCCCTTATATTCTAGCATCAAATCCCTGCATGGAAACTAAGTGTGCACCCTTAATAAACATACAAGAATAAGTTTTCTATAAAGCAGATAAGTAAATTGCATTCATGTTTTATGAAACAATAACTGGATGTAATCAATTTATATAAAACTTATGATCATGGCTTAGAATTCACCTCTAGCTAAAAAGAAACTTAGTTACACATGTTCATCATAACTGAAAAGCAATCTAAAATAAACATTGAAACTTAAAACAAAGAGAGAAAGTACTCTGAAAATTCTAGCAACTTCAATGGATGAATGGTACGCGCAGCACACCCTAAATCGCTACAACAATTTCATATATATATGGGGGTGGGGGGGGGGGGTGAAATGGTTGAATCCAAGTAGGAAAAGGTTTTGGCATTTTGAATTATTTTAGGACTCTAAAAATCAGGTAGAGAGTGTTGGAATGTGATTAGGATTCCTCCTTGCAGCTGAAGATAAGATAAGATAAGATAAGATAAGATAATGTTCCTCTCCAACTAGGATTCCTCTTTCTTGTGTAAGTCCTTGCCTTCCAAGCCTTAACTTTAATTTCTCCAGATTTTAGCACATATCTAGCACCATTTAAACACCAAAAATGTCCAGCCCATATGCTATCCAATCCAAGTCCAAAACTGCTCCAAATTGCTCTATTTGGCTATTTATTGTCATCTTTACCAACATGACCTATAATAATACGAAAATAACTTAAATTATCAAAATAAATGGAAATTAACAAAGTAAATGCAAAGAAATAAGATAACAAAGTCGCATAAATATGCTCCTATCATGTTCTTCTAGTGGATAAGCAATTGAACCTTAGCTGCATTGTTCTTCTTGTACACCTTTCTCTGCAGCACTGCCAAGGGCTCTTGAACTTGTAGTCCATCATTAGTAACCAATGGTAGCAATGGCACATGATTAACATCATGTCCTATATGTTTCTTCAAACAACTGACATGAAAGATTAGGTGTATCTTGAAAGTCTCAGGTAGCTTCAACTTGTAGGTCACATTACCCACCTTCTCCAGAACTTCAAAGGGGCCATAGAACTTAGGGCAAAGCTTGTGATAGGCATGAGTTGCGAGTGATTGCAATTGGTAGGGAATAAGCTCCTGATAGGAGCATATTCATGCGACTTAATTAGCTTGTTCTCGTGCATTTACGTTGTGTTTACTTAGTTGTTTTAGTGTTTAAGGCCACTTTTGTGTATTTTCAGATTATAAGGCCAAAGTGTGCAAGAAGATGCAAATTGGAGCCTTTTGGAGCGAAAGAGGAATGAATGAGTTGAAAACTTGAAGAAACGACGAATTCCTACTCCAACGATGAATTCTTACCAAAACGAGGAATCCTACTCAAACAAGGTTTCCTATTTTAGGAAAGTTAACCCTAAGTTTCCCGTTTTGGTAACCTTTCCTAATCTTAAACGTCCGTATTTTCTAGCCACTTTGAAGTCCTTGTAGGCGCTTTAGGACACAAAACGAAGGCCCTAGCCACTTTGTAACCCTTTGCCGTGCCTTTTATTTTCTCCCCTTCCCTTGCCGTGCAAGGGGGGGCATTTGTGTCCAAAATCATTCACTTAAACCCTATTTCCCTCACCCTAACTCACCCTAGCCGTCACCCTACAATCATCTCAGCCGTTCCCTTTAATTTTAACCCTAGTTCCACTAGCAGCCGCACCATACAATCTCACCTTAATTCATTCAGCCAATCATCTCCTATTTTTCCCAAAAACCGTGCATCCATTCAGCCCCCTTCACACATATTCTCTAAAACAGCCGCAAGACCCCCATTCATTGACCATAATTCCCAAGCCGTGCATTCCATTCACTCTTGATTATTAAAAAAAAGCTCTCAGCCGCAACTTTTGATTCCATTCATCATTGACCCTAAATTACAACCAAGCCATTGCAGCCAATTCCCATATTGCCGTGCATTCCATAACCTAAATCATTCAGCCATTCTTTCCCATTATTCTCTCCAAAAGTCGTGGCCACCATATCCCATAATTCATTCCAGCCGCAACCTTCCTCCACCCTTCCAGCCACCATACCAACCTTCCTCCATCACTCCACCACCTTGCCGCACCACCACACTACCCTAAACCCATTCCCAAACCAGAAAATCAACCAAAAACACCATTTAACCTCACTGTCGCAGCAAGGAGAAGAGGAAAGAGGAGCTTCGACGCGCAGAAATTCAA